GCTGATTTCTCAACAGAAACCATGCAGGCCAGACGGGAATGGCAAGAAATATTCAAGGTAATGAATAGCAAGAACCTACAGCCAAAAATAATCTACCCAGCAAAGCTATCACTCAGAATCGAAGGTCAGATAAAGAGCTTCACTAATAAAAAGCTAAAGGAGTTCATCACCGCCAAACCAGAATTATATGAATTGCTGAAGGGGATTCTTTCGGAAGAGAAAGTAAATAAAGATAAAAACTATGAACAACAAATAACTATAAACAAGTGAATCTAAAAACCAAGGGAATTAAAAAAAAATCTGATGAACAATATTAACTGTTGAATATAATAGAATCAGAGGTATGGAAGGGGAGTGGACTGATGATTCTTGGGGAAAAGGGGAGAGGGGGATGTGGGAAGAGACTGAACATAAACTGTGCATCTATGGATGAGGACAATGGGGGGTGGGGAAAGGGGAGAGGTTGGGGTGGGAACCTGGTGGAGGGGAGCAATGGGGGGGGGGGGATGAGGAACATTTGTAATAATATGAACAATAAAGATTTATTAAAAAAAAAAAAAAAAAAAAAGCAGGACACTCTTGTCTTTTAAATCCAACCAAACGTTGTTGCCTTCTGTATCGGGAAAGTCTTTACCCATCATGAGGCCGGCTGCCCACCATTTCTTCTGTGCATTTGCTCATGTAGCTTCACAAGGGGTTCTTTTCCTTCTTTCCTCCATCTACCTGCACTTTTCAGCATACGTCCTTCAAGCCCCAGTTGCTAAAATATGTCTTCTAAATTTTGTTTCTCGCATTCTTAGAAAATTTAAAGCACAGGATGTTACCCCCAGTTAGATGGAATATGGTACAGTATGCTGCTGTTTGTCCATAGTAGTGCTGTCACCACCTTGTTTCATTTCTTCTCATCAGTTGTAAGTTACCTGCAGGCAGGGATGGAGTTTTATCTGTATTTGCTTTCCTCAGAGGGCCCAGCACAGTGATTGTCAGAGTGTAATATCTGAGAGGAACAATAAGCATTTGTATATGAAAGATGATAATATCCAGGAAAAATTTACTTGGACTGATGTGGATTGGAGACTATATATATATATATATATATATATATATATATGCCTAAGTGACTGAATGATCTGTCGTTATGATGTGCACTGACCACCAGGGGGCAGATGCTCAACGCAGGAGCTGCCCCTGGTGGTCTGTGTTCCCACAGCAGGAGTGCTGCTCAGCTAATTAACCTGGCCCAGCATCTCACCAGCCCAGTGGCAGCCACTCCCTCCCTCAGTAGTCCTGCAGGTCCAATCTTTGGAGAATGGGCCAGGCGCCAACAGATCCAGACAGCCCTGCTGGCCTCCTGGAAGTCAGCTTCCAGCACTGTGGCCACTTCCTCTCCCTAGACTTCCACAAGGAAGAAACAATATAAAAGCAGCAGCCAAATGGCTCCTTACAACTGACGTGAATGTCAGCAGGATGGGATCCTGGGACCGGCGTCCCACTGCCTGCCCGGAGGGCCAATCGTGTCCCAGCCCCACCCCCACCCCCACCCCCCTTGGGGCCCCACTGTGCACAAATTCGTGCACCAGGCCTCTAGTGTTAAATTAATAAAAGATGTACATATGAGTGGACTTTCTTGGAGTGAGTGTTTAACCCAGAAGACTTGTGGAGTTGTCACTGCATGACTGGCAGCCTTTCAGAAGACAAGAGACCCTGCTCCAGTCTCTGTAGAAACTATTAGATACAGCAGGGCCTAATGTTCCAACTTTAAGCAGAGCCCAGAACAGAGGACTACATTCTAAGACTGCATCAGGGGAGGACACAGTCTGTGGGCCAATGAGAAGGCCTTATGAGCTGGGGGAATGGAGATAACAGGTGGGCAGGTTTTTTGTTTGTTTTTTAAATATATTTTATTGATTTTGTACAGAGAGGAAGGGAGAGAGATAGTTAGAAACATCGATGCAAGAGAGTCATCGATCAGCTGCCTCTTGCACACCCCCTACTGGGGATATGCCCGCAAGCAAGGTACATGCCCTTGGCTGGAATCGAACCCAGGACCCTTCAGTGCCCAAGCCGACGCTCTATCCATTGAGCCAAACTGGTTTCGGCAGGTGGGCAAGTTTTTGGCTGGTAAGAGCACAGACCCCAAGACAATCACAGTGGTTAAGGGGAGCGCAAGAGCAGAGGAAGTCTTACCTGGCACAGCCAGCTCGGGTCCCAGGGCCCTTAGCTATCTCTCACACCAGATCAGATCAGCAGCCAGTCTTCTGTACTTTGCCTTGATCGAGGGAGGAAGACAAATGGCCTGGCTCTCAGAGAAGACCCCACCTCTCCCCAGTCTGGCAGGAGCGTGACTTCAGCTTCCTTCTGTTCTGAGCTCTTCCCTGTAGGCGTCTGGAGGGAACACAGATGGGTCGGCTGATAGACTGGCTGAGTTGGGGGCAGGGAAGCCTATGGTGTGTGTGGTTCCCTCATGAGGAGGTCCGGCCATCATCTTCAGAATTCTGCTGCATGAAAGGCACTGAGCTTTCTCTTTTTCTTTTTTTTCTTTTTTAATGTTTTTATTTATTTCAGAAAGGGAGAGAGGGATAGAAACATCATGATGAGAGAGAATCATTGATCGGCTGTCTCCTGCATGCCCTACACAGGATTGAGCCCACAGCCCAGGCTTGTGCCATGACTTCCTGGTTCATAGGTCAGTGCTCAACCACTGAGCCACCTCAGCTGGGCAAGGCACTGGACTTGTTTCTCTTCCTCCCTTTCTGCCCCCTTTGACCGTTGGTGGTACTCTTCCTCTAGCAAAGCCCTCCTCCCGTGGCAGTAGCCTCCTGCTCAGTTGTAGTTCTTCCACTGCCTCTGGTGGCTGTCTTTCCACCTTTTCTAAGCTGCTGCATTACTGTGTGAGCTGTGCCACTCACAGCAAGGCAGTCAGGAATCGCTCGCGTGAAGCCCGGAAGGACCCAACTCCCCACCCCGATTTAGACCTGCGGGTGCTGCCCCACGACCTCCACCAAAGCCCATGTAAGGAGCTCAGTCTTTAAAGAGTGAAGAAAAGTTCTCTGGGGGGAAAATAGATAGAAATTGTACTTCAAATTTTTTTTATTCTAGAGAGAAGGAGAGAGATTGTACCCACCTCAACCAGGGATCGAGCCTGCAACCCAGGAATGTGCCCCTACGAGAATCGAACCAATGACCTCTTGGTCCATGGGTTGATGCTCAACCACTGAGCCTCTTTTTTTTTTTTTTTTTTTTTTTTTAATGTTTTTATTGATTTCAGAGAGGGGAAGAGAAAGATAGAAACATTGATGAAAAAGAAACATAAATGGATCCAGCCCACAATCCAGACATGTGCCCTGAGCAGGAATTCACCTGGTGACCTCCTAGTACATGGGATGACACTCAAGCAACTGGGCCATACTGGCTGGGCTAACCCCTAACTCTTAATGCCTTAGCATCCTCCCACAACCTGCAACCGCTCCCTCTTTATACCAGCCACTCAGTTGCCAAGTCCCATCTATTCTGACTCTCAAACCCATGCTGTGTCTACTTTCCTACTGCTCTCTCTCTCGGGCTGCTCCTTCATTGCCCTTCAGATGTAACACTTGTGATTGGTCCCTACATTCAGGTCCTTAGGCCTTGCCTCTGCTTCTCTAATCCATACACTCCTCTCCCAGCCTCCTCTTCCCAAAGACCATCCATCTGATTGCCTAGAGCACTAACTCCTTTGCCAGCATTTAAAGTCCTTTGTAATAGGGCAGCAAACCTTCTTTTCCATGTTCCTCTCTTACCCCCCTCTTCATGACTCTGAAGTTTCAACTAAACTGCAGAACCATCTGGTCTCTTAATGGGCCCAGTGTGTTTTCCTGAATTTTAATATTTGAACTGTCTTTGTTCATGGTCCCCAGAGATTAGAGCTGGCTTACTCTACCACAGCCATGTAATTTCTCTGGCCCTTTCACCACAGCCACTGCCCACGGCCCTGCTCATTGTGTTGCCTACATTTCTCCTACTGTTCCTCTTCCTCCCCCCCCCCGCCCCTTAATCCTTAGTGAAAAGGCAACCTCAGATGCAAAGCTTGATAAAATCATTAAGTATCAAGCAGACATGAGTGGAACCCCAGCTCTGCTTATTGACCTCTCAGACAGGTTACTTAAACTTGTTTCTTCCACAGTAAAAACAGGTACGGTAGTAACACCTTATACAGTCATTAAAGAATTAACAAAGTGAATAAAGTCCTAAGGAGAGTGTCACTGTCACATTATCTCATGCTGGGCTAGTCTCACTTGGTTCCTCTGCAGCTGTAAGGACTAAGAAGACAGACATCTCATTCCTCTTCCCATCAAGTTCTGGGAACCTGAGTGGGTGAGGTGGAGGCCTGGCCCCTGGGTGCTCAGGTAGCTAGCACTGCATGTGTAAGCGGCTGCCTCTGTTCCCTTTGTTCAAACTCGTGGCTCAGGCAGCAGCAGGCGTGGGCGTTAGCAGGGAAGGCACTGACAGCTTCAGTGCTCACCCGGCTTTGCAGGTGACAGCTGGGGTGGTAGATCCCTGTCAGGGGAGTTGCAGGCTGACCCTGTCATGACCCAGCTGGTGGGCCTCTCTGGTGTATGTGGGCCTCACCTCGAACCAGTCCAGGTCACAGCTGAATGTAGCTCTGGGAAATAAATGTAGCCTCTAGCCTGCTTCTTGCAGTATAAGGTAGGGTAAAGAGATGGGTACTTGGTACTACTGGGTCACTAAGTTACTAAATTCTAGCTGATAGATTACTTCAAGCTCCTCTCCAGGCCTGTTTCTTCAACAGCAAAGGCAACGGCACGAGTTAGACCCAGTTATCTCCAAGGGGCTGTGGTCACCTGTCACGGCCTACATCAGGACCAAGTCAGTTCTGAAGCCTCCCTAGAAATGTAGGTCCTTGCTCCTTAGGGCCTGAGTTTTCTTGTCTATAACAGACAAGAGTTTCCCACATCCATCCCTTGTGTGGGGGTGTTGAAAACAAAGTCAAAGTGAACAGGTGCAGTAGAAAAATTCTTTATTCTAAAGGGAAAGGTGGACCCTTGCTGGCACCTCCTGGGCCCTGGCCAAAGGGGAGTTACCACCCGCTCAGCAACTCACGCTGGCATCTGAAGGCAAAAGTCTGTCCACACCTTACCTTTAAGAGCCTTAAAGGGGAAGTGCCGTGGTGTAATGATATATCACAAAATCAATTCTCAAAAAATAGCACTACCAGGCCCCTGCCTTATTTAACTCCTTAAAGGCAAAGTGGACAAGTGCAGCAGATAAGAGCCAGAACGTTATAGGAAAAGTCTCCAAGAAGGGTCTCTGTGTCTTTACCTTTAAGAATCTCTTAAAGGTGAGGCATGTTCGTGCAGAGTACAAAGATGGAAAAACCCTGTAAAAGAGTCTACAAAGCACTTTTCCAGTTCTCGGTCTCAGGGTCTCTACAGAAGAGGTGGTGAAGCGCGAAGTAATGAACAAAACACTGTACCTTCCCGCCCGTCGGCGCGCCCGCCTTCGGGGCTGAGGCCCGTCTCTGGCGCCCGGGGCGGAGGCGGGCGTTTCGGAGGCCGCCCCCCACCCCTCTCACGCGGTCACCCCGGGGCGTCCGGGGAGTTTTTGGTTTCCTAGAGTCTACACCCTCCCCCCTCCGGCCCCGGCCGTCTTCACAAAGGAAGTCGGACAGGGCGCGGCGGGGCCTGGGGGGCGAGCCGAGAGCGGTGACCATGGCGACCACGGTGACCATGGCGACCGCGGTGACCATGGCGACCGCGGCTCAGAGCACGGAGAGGTCGTGACACGACCTGGAGCGCTGCTTGAAGAACTTGGCGTTGCGGGGCACCAGGTTGGCAAGGAAGCGCTTGGCCTTCTTGGTGAGGCTCTCGCGGCGCGCGGCGGGCGCGGGGCCCTCGGGGCTGCCCCGCTCCGGCCGCGGGCCCCCCGCGTGGCCGCGGCCCCGCCTCAGGCGGATCTGGCGGACGGCGCCCTCGAAGAGCTCCCGGGTGTTGTGGTGCAGCGCGGCCGACGTCTCGATGTGCTTGCAGCTCAGGGTCCCGGCCAGGTGGCGGCCCTCTGCGGGGAGGGGCGGGGTCAGGGTCAGGGTGTGCGGCGGGAAGGGTGCGAGGCCCAGAGGGACAAGTAGGGATCGTGGGGAGGGAAAAGGGGGGCAGTTGGAGAAGATGCGAGGGGGAGTGAAGGGAAGGGCTCCTCGGGGCCCCAGGCATGGGCACTGCGAGACTGCGGGGGCTAAATGCAGTTAAGTTTGTGCACCTGATAGCAGAAAGGCCGTATGGAAAAGGGGTGACTTGGAAGGGAGAAGATACCTTAGGATGGCAAGTAGGGATGATGAGGTTCAGGACACCCACCCTCCAGTGAGACCTCCCGGGAGCGGGCCAGGTCACTCTTGTTTCCCACGAGGATGACAGGCAGGTCGTGGTGGGGCCTCCCAGCTCGGAGTCGAAGGAGAGTCTCTGGAACTTTGGAGAAGCTTCGTCGGTCAGTGACTGAGAAGACGATGAGGAAGGCGTCCCCAGTCTGAAGGCAGTGGTCCTGCAGCCACCCAGCACCGTCCCCCTGCAGAGGGGCAGAAAGTCATAGAATGTCGGGCTGGGGAGCATGGGAAAACCTGCCAGGCACCTGCAATCTCAAGGACAAGGAATCGGGATGTGAGGGAGAAACCACCTGTTTAGAACAGCAGAGCTAGTGAATGGCAGTATCTCCATCTCCAGGGTGTGTTTGTGGGGGAGGTACGAGTTAGTAATGTGAGCCCCTCACTGGAGAGTTGGAGACATAGGATCCTAGGCTAGGTAGGGTAACCCGTCCTATTTTCTGATACACAATAAGCTCAAGAAAGTTTAAGAAATGACTGCTATTCAAGTGTTATGTAATCTGGTCTCTTGTTTCTATATAGTAACCATTTATATCCCTATGTTCACAAGTCCTCACTTTTTTCTTTTTCTTTCCCTGACATTCCAGAGCCCTGAGCCCCTGCCGGGTCAGACTCTTCCAGGCTGAAAAAAGTATGGGATAGGGTCCATTTCAGAATGTGTAGCCTGGATTTCATCTGCAGGGTTTGCCAAATTCAAATCCTAAACTTTCCTCTGGATCAGAAGACCCTGGAAGGAAGTGGCTCTTGTTGCCATGAAATGCACACTGTTGTGGGCCTTGGCTCTCTAAGATGATAACACAGCAGCCTTCCCCCAGGCTTCGCCCTTCCTCAGTTCTCCGGGGGTTCATCCCCTGCTCGGAGCCACGTGTTAGTTCTCACCTGTTCCCAGATGTCATAAACCACTAAAGTCACTTCCTCCTTGTCCACCATGATGCGTCTCTCATAGGTGTCCTCTGTGGGGAAGTAAGGACAGGGAATGGTGCCCATTAGGAAGCTCTCCACTCTTGTGAACCTGGTAACCAAGGACGCCTCAGATCCCAGAACCAGGGAGCGTCCTCCGGGGAGGATGCCACAAAAAGCATTGGAGAAACTTCTCTTAGGTTCTGGCTCCCAGGAGCTGCTCATGCCTTGAGCTCCTCCACCCCTGACCAGCTCTGGAGGCACCCTCAACCCCTGCAGGGCTCCCCCAAATACCTGGGTTCTCTGGCTCTTGAGCACCGTCTCCCTGGAGACCGCCAAAAGTGCCTGCTAAGGAGCTCTTGCCCACGCCACTCTCCCCCACAAGCATGACCTTGAAGATGGCATCCTTTTGGGTGGTGGCTGCCTCCCCTGAGCCCAAGGAGTCAGAAGAGCCAGAGGATGAGGCTTGAGGTGGCCAGTCAAGTTCATCTACAGCCTGGGCCCGCCGCAGCTGGTGCTTGTAGGGGACAGGCATGCTGCCCCTTCGTCTGGGGAGGCCAGGGGCAGAGGGCGGCCCGCTCCGGTCCAAGCCTGCCAACAGTTTCTCTGACTTCTTCAGCAGTGTGGCATTTGCTTCTGGGGGGCAAAGAGACAGAAGCTATGAGCAGGGGATGCCTAGCCTTCTGCAGAGGGCTCAGTCCTGGTGGTTCCAGCTTTAAAGGCCCAGCCGATGTCCATGACCCAGAAGGAGCCGAGAATCCTTAGTCTGACCCCTTCCACTGAAACTCCCCCAGAAGCCTGAACTGGTGCGGCACCAAAGAGCTGACCTGATGGCTTGTCCAAAGTGGCTCCAGCCATAACCTATTCAAAACTGCCCCTGCAGGGGAGGCACCTGTGTGCAGTCTTGCACACCCACTCACACTTCACACGGACACATAGGCACACTCTCTGGCCTGGGGGCTGCTCTTCCTTCGGCCAAGAAGCCCGGCCCCTGCTGCTTCCTGCACTGGCAACCCCCTGGCTTGCTGGCTCAGCGATGAGAAACTGGAGCGGCTGCCGTGTTCTGTGGGGGTGGGTAGCGGTAGTCAAAAACTTTGCGGGGAGCCTGATCCCAGGGAAGGTCCTTTGCGCTTTGAGATGTGTGCTTTGTGTCTCTGTGGGTGTGTGCATGCGAGAGGCTGCCTCTCCCGTGGCCCTGTAGGTGAGTATCCCCCAGTGCATGGCGGTGCGTGAGAATCCTGCATCCCTGGCTGTTTCAATGAGTTGGAAAAAATATTGTATTCATGGTGAGGAAGAGGAAGGATGGGAGAGGGAGAGAGAGGGAGAGGGAGAGAGCAGGAGCATAAGAGAGTGACAATGCATGGGTCAGGGTAACAGGAGGAAGATGGACAGACACAACAAAGGGGGATGGAGAGAGGCTGGAAATAGCCCAGGATCAATACTTGGCTAGCAGCCAGAGCCTCGGAGCTAAAGAAACCCTTACAACAGGTCCCCAGGGCAGCCCCTTGCCCGTGATTCCCCCGGCTCGGGGGCCGCCCCTTCCCTTTTCCCGTTCCTTTCCTCCTGCCTCTAGGGAACGAGTGGGACCTAGGGGGACAAGTACAAATTTCCCCAGCGTAGCTCTGAGAGTGAGGGGGAGGGGGCATTTAAGCAGCTCTTCTCCCCACCCCCCAGTCCAACCCCATTCCTAGTGTGAGTGGGAGGCTTCTCCCCTTTCCAAGGTGCTCTCTCCCCTTCTTGCTGTTTGGGTTCAAGCTCCTTTAACGCCTAGATCTGACCTCCCCACCAAAGCTTCGGCTCCCACCCCCATGGTTCCAGCCAAAACCTGCCACGCTCTGCCTCACCTGGTGTGGGCGTCCCTGGGGAGGAATTCTGGTGGCTACCGGAGGGGCAGAGAGCTGTGGTTTCCGTGTCCGCGTCCATGTCGGCGTCCAGGTCCGAATGCATCGGTGTGCGTGAGTGCGCAGCCCAGCGACCAGCAGTACCGCTATCTCATTCAGAGCACTGTCAGCTTTTCCCTTTAAATACCTCCCCCCCACGTGTCCTCCCCCCTAGACACCTGGGGAAATTGTCCCGCCCCTGATGAGGTCACACATGCTAATGAACAGTGATGTCAGCGGGATTCCCTCCTTTCTGCCCTCCCCGCTTTGTGTCGCTTCCCTCCGGGAGCACACACTGCAGAATCAGGGTAAGACACAATAGAACAAAGTCAGAGAGAAGAGACAGGGTCTCCGAGAAAGTGGGGCGAGGGTTTGGTGGGTGAGGGAGCTGAGGAAGGCAGGAGGCAGGGACACAAGGACCCAGGAGGTCTTTCTCCAGGAGCCAGGATTATGCATCTTTTATCTCTGTGTTCCCAGCCCCCTAGCCCAATATCTAGCCCGGAGTAGGTGCTCTGTGGCTAAATGGAGGTCTAGAGGCAGAAACCAAAAGAGGCACCCACCTTGCCACCAAGCTTCCCTGTCATCCTCTTCATCCCCATACCTCCCCTTCTAGGCTAAGGCCCAGAAAAGTACCCAGGTAGATGGGGCTTTAAAAAAAAAAAAAAAAAAAAAAAAAAAATATATATATATATATATATATATATATATATATATATATATATATATATATATATAAAATTGATTTTTCACTGAGAGGAATAGAGAGTTAGAAACATCGATGAGAGAGAATCATCTATCAGCTGCCTCTTGCACACACACACACACACACACACACTGAGGATGTGCCCGCAACCAAGGTACATGCCCTTGACCGGTATCAAACCTAGGGCCCCTCAGTCCGCAGGCCGACACTCTATCCACTGAGCCAAACCGGTTTCGGCTAGGTGGGGCTTTGAGGAAAAGGAGATGGTTGTTTTGTTTGAGCTGTTTCCTTAAGTCACCAAGTTCAGGTACTGCAAACCATTGAGGCGGCTTCCTCTTCCTCCCCCTCCCTGACAGGCTAACCAGCCGAGTGTTAATCAGAGCAGGAAAAAGGGGAGAGGCTAACTCTTTGGAGGTTCCCAATGCCAAGGTCAGGTATAGGATACGAGCCCCTCCCCTGGAGTCCCTCCCGGCCAGCCACCAGGGCTTCTGGCTACACAAGGCAGACACGATGTCTACCTCCTTTTGTAAAACCAGGATGGTGTCTCATTTACTGTTCCTTTCCTGCCCAATTATTCTTGGACTTCCTTCCTGACACCTGCAAGCACCCGAACATTGTGATTTCCTGATTTCCTAGCCCCTGCTGACCATTTTTGTCAGGTCTTCCTACAGTATCTTTTATCCTCATGGCTGTAGGCGGGTGGCCTGTCTCCAAATCAATAATGCAGCTGGAAAAAAAGTAGGGACATCAGGACTCCCACCTACATCTTTCCAATGCCAAAGATTGTTCTTCATCTTTGCCCTGTGCTGCCTTCCTTGTCTTAAATATTCCAACTGTCTCCTACTATTGGGAACAACCCATATTGCAGTCTTTGGTGGACTTTTCCAATCGAAGAGGCAAATGGTAATCCGACTAACATCTGGATACCAACTACAGGGCAACATTGTGGGGTCTAGTGGGAGCAGAAAGGACTCCTGAACAGGTACAATACTCATGTGCTTTACTCATAGGATAGACTCTCCAGTCTTTGATCATAGACTATTTATGTTATTCACAATATTAATGTGTCCATGTGTGTTCATGTACACATAGATCAGCACATTTAGAGCAGCAAGTGACCCTGATAGCCTGCTAGTAAGGGAAGCAACACCACAAAAACCTTTTAAAGCAGTCATAAGCATTTAAAAAGTGCTCTAGTATCATTTGGCATAAAGGCAACAGCCCCCTGGCGCTGTTATCACTTCTGAAAACATAGCTTAAGAGGAGCCATTGGTTTCTATGAGCGATCCTCAGCATCCCACAAACATTTATACTAGGTTCTGGCTCCCAGGGGCTGCTCCCATCCCTGACTCCCATCAGAGCTGAGCACTGTCTAGAGAACACCGATGAGCTAAATATGAATGTTATGTTTTAGAACGATTTCCTTCTAAAATGAGTTTAGAAAAAATTTAAATTATAAAGGTGTGAGCTTGATGTAGCTGGAAAACTCAATGAGATGGTTGGATTCCTTTTTCTGATACCAGATGAGCGAGTCGGGCTGCTGAACCCAGCAAGGCTCCTTGACCATGACTTCTGCCTGCCCTCCAACCAGCTTTAGGCTACAGAACAGGTTGGGTTTCACCTTAAACCACCATCTCTTTTTCTTACTGGTAAGGTGCTGTATACTTGCGCATCCATCTCCAAGCTCCCCCAGGAATGGGAGATCCTATGAAAGTGGGAAAGGGTGAGATTTGGAAGCCAACCAACCCAGGTTTAAATCTGCCTCTCCGTAGACTAGGCTGGTCCCTAATTCTTTGGGTGCTGCTTCTGACCCTGTGAATTGGCTTGTGTGTTATGATGCCTATGGCACAGCCTTGTCGTGAGGGTTGGCCACAAAGGATAATGGATTGACACTTAGCAGAGTGCCCAATTACTGGTGCTCCCACTGCCCATTCTATGTGATGGGGGACCCCCTTCCTTCCCAGTAGAGACTGGAACTTGATCAGGCCCAGATTTTGCTCAAGAACTGAATTCTGCCGAAACCGGTTCGGCTCAGCGGTAGAGCATCGGTCTGCGGACTGAAAGGTCCCAGGTTCGATTCCGGCCAAAGGCATGTACCTTGGTTGCGGGCACATCCCTGGTAGGGGGTGTGCAGGAGGCAGCTGGTCAATGTTTCTCTCTCATCGATGTTTCTGGCTCTCTCTCTCCCTTCCTCTCTATAAAAAAATCAATAAAATATATTTAAAAAAAAACACCCAAAACTGAATTCTGTTGTTCTCACATTTCTAGTCAATCCCCCTCTTAAGGTGAGACCACCACACTCCTCATTCAGCTCTGATATTGGGCACATAGATAGTGGTGTCCATCCAGATAGTGTTTGAAGTTGCCTCTTTTTCCTTGGGCCATGGTTAAAATAAACTTGGGTGAATGTTCCCCAATGTACCACCCTCTCCTAGGTAGGACCCTGTTTTATTAGATTTCTCTTCCTGCCTGTGCAAGGCCAATTCCTTCTCCCCACCACCTGGAGCGTCACTGTGGCTGCTAAGTGTTCCTGCTTGCATCTCCCAGAGCACACACACCCAGCACCCAGAGAAGGTTCTTTTAGGCTCATGAATCTATACACACAGGCCTTCCTAGTGAACTCTACCTTCAAGTTCTCCCTCCAGCATTCTGAATCTGTCCATTTTCATTATAAAAAAAAAAAAAAAAAAAAAAAAAAAAGGACAAGGGATGAAGATACCAGGTTGAAGGTTTTGAGATGGCTGTAGGCAAGACAGGAGGAGCAGGAAGAAGGTAGAGACCAGGTGGTGGAGGAATGGGAGGGGAAATCAACATTCCGTTTCACTGGGTCGGACATTGGTGGGACCCAGGATTGTTGCACTGGGGAAGGAAGGCCCAAAGGAAGAACAGTGAGCAAGAATGGAGATCTCTGGAGGCCCTTCTCCAAAGTCTGGAGAGGATCTGCAGTGAAAGGAAGTTGGGTCTTTCTGGAGCCAAGATGCCAGGGTCCCAGGACTGCACTATATACCCCTTTGTCATTCCTTAGGCTCTTGTTCACTGGGAAGGAGGAAACATTATGCAATCAGCACTGCATATAAGGATCTTGACAGGGTATAATCAACAGGGCCCTCTACCAAGGGGGTGAGGATAGGCCAGGCCAGGCCAGAAGGGCAAGGACAAGGTTGGGGGTTTCCCTGGGGATGGGGGGGAGTGCGTTCTGCCAGGGATGCCTCAGCTCTGCTCCTGAGGCATAATACTCACCCCCATATTTTCTTCTATATCCTTTGTCTGGATTTGCATGTCAAACTCTGGGACAGCTCTATCACCTTGCTTACCAGAGGCTGGGTTCCAACATTTCCACAGATCATTCTCTCCTCCATCACTCTCTCCAGCTCTTTGACTCTGGCTACTGCTTGCGTTCCTGCACCTTTTCTGAGATTCAGGGTCTAGCTTATAGCCTTCACTTTCAAGTCTGCTTATCCTGTGGACATTCAGCATGCCTGCAATCACAACTCTATTCCCACTACTGATAGTGTTCTAGCCTAGTTTGGGCCTTCTTCCAGGAAGACCTCTTAGATTTGGCCAAGTAGATGCCAGCATCTTCACACTCAGAATGTTTCTGATTTTTCTTTCAATTCACTTTTGCCTGCTTCGAGACAGCCTGCTAAAAATTCATCTGTCTTGCCTAGGGCAGACTGTAATTGGTGAGGGTAGAGGGCAGGAGTCACAGCTCCCATATTCCATCAGGGACCATGTGCTCCTGTGATGTGTACCCTGGGAGTACTCCACAAATGGAAACCATTCCAGCTACAGGGCCCAGCAGGCTCACCAGACTTCTGGCGTGGCAGGGAATAGAGGCTTGGTGTTCACCCTGGTGTCAATCCCTGTAGAGTTGGGCCCCAGGTGGTAAGTGAAGGTGAAAAGGGTTGTTTCTTAGGATCCCTAGGATTTTCTTACCCACTGAGTGGTAAAAACACCCCCACAAGTGTGTGTGTGATTAGATCAATAGGAAGAGGGCAGAGCAAAAACCTACACAGGAAGGAGCATAAGCTGAGACGGGTAGAGAGGCAGGGCTCAGGCTCACAGCTCATGTACAAAAATCTTAAATTTCTGATTCCTTTATTTTCAACCTTGACTTCTGGGCAATGACCTATCAGACAAAAGCATTTGTTGTGCTTCTTCTTTTTTTTTTTTTTTCCTTTTCTTTCTTTTGAGCCAGGCCCTATAGGAAGGATCACAGTTGGCAAAACCACAGTCCCTACCGAAATCCTTCCCTTGGAGCCTAGAGGTCTCCAGCCAATTAGCACGCAGGTGTTTAAGGCCACTTTGGTGGGGAATTGTTAAGGATGGAGTGTTCAGGCCTAAGACCTCTTACAGGCGTCTTCAAACTACGGCCCGCGGGCCACATCCGGCCCGCCAGGTTTTCTGGGCAGTGAGCACAGCCGAGGTGTTACAGTAGGAATTAGTAGTTCATATAGTCCGGCCCTCCAGCTCTCTGAGGGACCGTGATCTGGCCCCCACTTTAAAAAGTTTGAGGACGCCTGTTTAAGAACTTTACTTTTTTAAAAGCCACCCAAATGGTGGTGGTGTGAGGAGAGGGTGGTGGTGGAGAGACTGTGATCTCTGCCAGGTGCAAAGGGAGCTCTGAGCCCTCTCTCTGCCTGAGGGACACCTAACTTGACAGCAGCTACACAGGCCCAAAGGAAGGCTCACCACGTCCCCTCAGACCTAGAGCCGGGGAGGGAAGTGGTGGGAGTGAAGCTGAGCTGTTTTCTAAAGGTTGTTGTCATGTGACTAGAGCCCCCGGGAGAGTCTTGGTCACCTCAGGCAAGCAGTGGCTCGTCCTCCGCTTCAACTACCCAGACTCCTGGCTCAGCCAGTGGCACCAGCAGTACATCGTCTTCATCCTCTGGGGACAGCACTATTGTGTGGGGTTCAGGTGGGGTTTGGGTTGGTCCTGGGGGCCGGATTGGTCCTGGCGGCCGAAGGCCGGGCAGGAGGCGGCCTCGCAGGGCCTGTACCACTCCAGACAGCAGTGATGGTTCTAGGGGCACTGAAGGCAGTGGCCCTGGGGCCTCCAGGACAGCAGGGAGGGCTGGAGATATGCTGGCAGATGGGAGGGGAGCCTTGACAGGCAGTGGGGGTGCCTGTTCCCCATCCTGCCCACCTACTGCCCCAACCTCACGGGCTGGACCTGTGCTGCCATCTAAGGCTTCAAGGGGAGCGTCAGGAGGTGTGACTTGGGATCTGGCCTCAGGGGTTCGGGCTGGGGGGTTGGTTCGAGGAAGCAGGCCCCAGCGGCGGAGACGGCGCACCAGGCGGCGGACAGTGCGGCCGCGCTGGCGGCGGCGGGCACCTGAGGCACCCCCGGGAGTCATATCCTGTCGCAAGATCTGAAGCAGAGAACGCAGGTTGCCCAGCACCGAGTTCTGCAGGGAGAGGAGGAGACATCAGTCGGAGGGATGAGGGCCAGAAGCCTGAGAGGAGGAAGGGACAGTGGCAGGGTCACAGTGGGTTGGGGGCAGGATGAGCTAGAGTTGGGGTAGTGACTTACATCGTTAGGATTCTCCGTAGGGAAGTCCTCCACAGGTGGGATGGCGCCCTGGGCAATGAGCTGCCCATAAGAGGGGGGTGCCTGCTGCTGCACAATCTCAGCCTCCATTCGGGAGAGGGGGGCAAAAATGCTGGAAGGAATGAGGGCTGCTCAGTCACAGGTGGTCCAGCTGCAGGAGCCTGTCCCAGCCTGGACAGGCCTCTTCCCGCCACACCCAGGACCGGACAACTGAAGCTATACCACGGTTTTCCCAAAAGTCACCTGAGGTCCCCTCCTTCTTGAGATGGCTTTCAGAACATAGACCTGCTCTTTCCTCAAAGAAGAACCTCTTTCCCCAAGCTGGATAACCCCCCGAGCTAACCCATAAGCTGGTCACTGAACTATCCCCAACATGGCACCCTCCGGGTCTCCCGTGGCATCACCGGCCCTGTCTCACCCTCCAGCCCCCCTCCTCTAAAGCCAGCTGACCTGTACTCCTGGGTGCGAATGGCATAGAGCTTGCAGGTGCAGCCCAGAGCAATGACCAGCAGCAAACCGCACACCAGGCTGCCGATGACTGCAGCGGTAATGACCTTGCGGGGCAGGGCATAGGAGCAGTCCCACTCATCGCTGCCGTCAGCACAGTCTGGCTGCCCATCGCACACCCATGTCTCATACACGCATTTCTCGTCCCGACATCGGAAGTTGCCAGGCTGGCAGTGCCGGCAACGACTCTCATCTGCTCCGTCAGCACAGAAGGTCTGGTAGTTACAGCGGTCAGCAGGCAGGTAGCAGGCTGTGGCACTAGGGGTGCCAAAAGCCCCACAGGGATAGTGTCCAGGCGGGCAGCTGGGGCAGTTCTCCTCATCTGTGCCATCGGCACAGTCCCACGAGCCATCACAGCGCTGGGCCTCACTGTAGCAGCGCTCCCCGAGGCCCTCACTGGCCCCCAGGCCGGAGCCTAGGCCGCAAGGTTGGTCCCAAGGTAAGCAATAGCCCTGCACGTGGTAGGTGGCATTGAAGCCCCGACCACTGCTCCAAGGAACTGTGTGGTAGGCCACAATGGCCTGGCCAGACAGCGTCTCCACGGTGACAGCCTTGCCATTGTTGAAGCGGGTGAGCCTGCGCAGCAGCCGGGACGTTTTGGGGGGCCCAGGGCCATCGTACACATGCACTGCATCTTCATAGCCCAGATCCAGGGCTGTGAAGCGCACTGCTAGGCGCCGGCCGTCGTGGGGGTCCAGCAGCCAGAGGCAGGACTGGGGGCGGGAGACTGACACCAGGTGTGAGTATCCAGGGGAGGAGAAGACCCCATAGAAGTCTTCCAAGGTGTGATTGCAGGGTGGGGAGGGGTCAGAGGCAGGGACCAGGTCAGGGAAGGGATCTGAACTGCAACCTGCCTCATCCGAGCCATCTCCACAGGTATCGACCCCGTCGCAGTGCTGGGCGGAGGGCACACAGCGGTGGTTCAGGCACTGGAACTCCTCCTGCAGGCATATCAGCCAATCTGCAGAGGCACCAGGGAGAGGAGCTATGAAGCACGGGAGCTGGTGGGTCCTCCCTCCTCCCTGGGGGTTCCACTGCCTGTGTCCATAGCCCCAGGGACACCCTGTCCAGTCTACCTTGGCTGTAGGAGAGCAGAAAGCCCTGGCCCATGGGTGCTCTGGCCCCGGCGTAGCTGTAGGTGATGGTGACATTGCCCCCAGGCAGCTGCAGAGGGCTGGCCGGTGCCTCGCACAGGGAGATCTGTGGCTGGAGAGGGGAGCGCAGGATTAAGCGCTCTGAGCCACAGGCCAAGTGCAGTTTTTGGAACCTACAGGGGTGGAAAGCAGGATGTGATATTCTTTCTTTGTTGATCCTCACCCGAGGATACTTTATTTGTTTTAGAGAGAGGAATGGAGAGAGAAAAAGATAAAAATATCAACATGAGAGAGAAACATCAATTGTTTTGCCTCCTGTATGAGCCGTGACTGGGGATGGATCCCGAAACCTAGGAATGTGTCCTGACCTGGAACAGAACCCACAAACTTTTTGGTGTACGGGACGATGGTCCACCTAACTGAGCTACACCGCCCAGGGCTGTGAGATAGTTCTGACTACTACCGCTGGCTTCTTCCTCCCCCAGGACTTTTCTACCCGCAAAAGCATGAGCATCTACTTATCCACAACTCAAATAGCTAAGTGAAAATTCAGTCAGCTAAATTCCTTGGTAGTCGATGGCACTCATCCTACCAGAGGCCAGTGGCACCTTAAGACTATATGATATATCCCAGATTCCCATGGAAAAACAGTCTTGTCTTCTGGGACTGCAACATGAACAGGAGTACTGCTTTCCAGCTGTTGCAGCTCTGTCGCTCAAGTACAGTGTTAGCAGGAACTGACAGCAACCATACAGTTCCATTAACCAGAACTTGCCTTCCCTCCACATGCCTGGGAGTGAGGCTTGGATCACCATGCACTTTGATCCCTCTGCTCCAAAAGCCTCTCCACAGATTTCCTTCTCCATTCCCCTACCCCTTTCTGGGTAAATACATGAAAAGTGAACTGTGTGAAGCAAATAGCCAGAAACTTAATTAACATGGGCCCAACCTCATGGCCCAAGGTTGGAGGAGCCTGGGAGACCTGGATTATTCACGAGATCTGGGGAGGCTGAGGAATGGTCTAGCTGATAAGGGAATAGCTCTGAGTCCTAGGTAAAGATGTGCAAGGATTAAGGACTTCCTCAGAGCAGCCATATAGGAACCCAAGGATGTTTCTAGAATGAGTGTTTTTGTTTTGTTTTGTTTTGTTTAAATATATTTTATTGATTTTGTACAGAGAGGAAGGGAGAGAAATAGAGAGTTAGAAACATCAATGAGAGAGAGTCATCGATCAGCTGCCTCTTGCACACCCCCTACTGGGGATATGCCCACAACCAAGGTACATGCCCTTGACCGGAATCGAACCCGGGACCTTTCAGTTCCCAAGCTGACGCTCTATCCAACCGGTTTCGGCTAGAATGACTGTTGACCTTCAGAGATGACCATCCCCACCCAGATCCAATTCACTGTGTCTGGTTCAGAACAAGGAAGGCTTTTAGGACAGATGAAGCCAGTGGTTCCCAACGTGGGGCACAATTTGATTTTTAAGAAGGGCAATTTGAGGATGAGTTATTAACTGAGTATTTTGCATTTCTTATGATTCTAGGGGCCTCATATAAATATATATTGTGACATATTAATGCATTTCAATTCTCTATGATATGTTTTGAAACTTTATTTGCTATTTTTTCATATCAATTCATATTATTACTAGAGGCCCGGTGCACAAGGTTCGTGCACTGGTGGGGGGTGTGGCCTGCGGGGATCGGCCTGCTACGGGAACAGCTATGCATCTGAAATGATCATGAGTGGCTGTGGACCCGCCCTCTGAGTGGCTGCTCCCACTGTGGTCAGTGCACATCATAGCAACTAGTCGACCAGTCGTCCTGGTCATTCCACCATTCAGTTGCCTGGCTTTTATTATGTAGGATTATCATTTAAACAATTTCTTACTGGTTGCTTCCTCAGTACTTCAACCATCTTTTTGTTCTTTTATTTTTCTCTTTCATGGATGCCATGCTCTTTAGAAGCTTGTTTAGAACAAGTTAATGGCCTTTTAGGCTTCCTCCACTTGAATAGGAGTACACTCTTTGGGAAATAAGAATTATATGTCATGGGGGAGGCGGGGGAATCAGGATTTTAGAGATGCTTAGGTGGGGCATGGCCAAAAAAAGGTTGGGAACCACTGGATGAGGCCAAATCAAATTCTACTCTTCCCCCTGTTGACAGAGATGGGAATTCCACAAAGAAGGTTTCCCCATGAGGAAGCTGGGAGGAGCAGGGAGAGGAATAGAGTCTGGCCCTGTTGCTCACCTGATCATCACTGTCTGATCCTTGCTGCCAGGGATGAGCCAGGTGCAGTTGGCAGGGGAGCTGTGGCTGTCGCGGCTCAAGGGCCTCTGTAAGGTGCCCTGTACTTCCAAGATCACTGCTGGAGGGTCTTCACAGGCTGGTGAGAGAGGCAGAGACACTGGCTGAGAGTGTTACTATCCTATCCCTCCCCAGACTTGAAGCCCCCAAGGTCCTGGTCTCTTCAAGAAGGAGCATATCAACTTGCCCTCCTTCCCATACTTGATGTAGTCATAGCCTTCAGTGGCTCCCCTTCCTCCCACAAGCATCATAGCTTCGCCTTAAGTACCAACAGTATATACAATCTGATGTCTGCTTTGTGTCAGCCCTTGGACCAGGAGGAACCGAAAATACTGTCTCTAGCCTCAGGGAGACTAGGAGATCAAGCATGGCGACTGGGGGAAACACAAAATTGTACCTAAGTACCAGGTGAGGGTTCACACGGGGTCTCAGTTTCCCCACCTGTGAAATAAAGGGTGGATACTCTCCACTCAAAAACTACGCAGGTACAGTAAGAATCTAGGGAAGAGAGACTCCTTCCCGTGGGGCTTCCCTCCTTTTACCAAGCCCCGAGTCCCCAGAGGCATGCATCATCTACTCACCAGGATTTGGGAAAAGGATCCGGTCTGGATGGGCCAGCGCGCCTCCTAGAGGGAGAGAGAGAAAGGGCAGGAGAAGGAGTCATTTTTAGAAGTTCGCTCCACCTGTCCCACTCCGGGAGGGAAGGAGCCAGCTGGGACTTCCGGGTAGTTTGTGGGAGGGGGTGCGGGAGCAGGGGGAGACTGCAGTTCGCGACCTCGGGCAGCATAGCCTGAGGGGTGGGTGCGGGGGCCTGGGTGAGCCAGAGGGAAGCTGAGGGCAGAGACTTCGGGCTTCCCAGGGGCTGGGCGGGCAGCGCTGGGGGCGGCGGGGGACGGGAGGCTCGGGCTGGCCGGGGAGGGCGAGGGGCCTCGGAGGAGGAAAGCGCAGAGCGTCCGGGGGTGACAGCCGGGGGCGAGGGTGGGGGCGGGAGAGGAAGAGGAGTCCTGTTTGCTTCTCACCCAGGAGGAGGAAGAGGAGGCTGAGCGGCGGCATCCTGAGCGGCCCGCTGGGGCAGAAGTCCGGCAGCTTCCGTGGTCTACCCGGCGGGGAGGAGGCGCCGCTCCGCGCGTCCCGGGCCCGCAGGGCCGCCTCCCCGCGGGGGCTCCATGGCTCGGGCCGCTCTCGGGGGGCCAGGGCTGGGGGCGGGGCGGCGCCTCTCGCCAACTTCGGCGCTGTCTCCCCGGCGCCGCCGCCCGCTCTCGCGCCGTCCCTCCCCTCTCGCCCGCGGCCCGGCCACCCGCTCGAGGCCCCGTCGGGCGCACCCTCGCCCGGAGCCCGTCCGCAGGCCGCGAGCGCCGGGGGCCAGGCCCGGCCGCCACCTGCCGGCGCCGGAGGCCGCTTCCTCTCGGAGCCAAACTTTGCCGCCCGCACGGCCGGCCCGGGCGGCTCACCTTCCTCCCCGCGCGTCCAGGTTGCGGAGCTGGGACGGGATCGGGGACGGGATCGGGGACGGGGACGCCGCGGCCCAACTCCCGGCCCTTGCCCGGGCGGCACCCCAGCCCGCCCCGGGGTTGGAGCAGCCGGGCGGGGGCGGGGGGCGGGCCAGGCCGGGCCCCACCTCCGCCCCGCGCTTGCGCCCCGCCCCGCCCGCGCGCCTTAACCCCTCTCAGCGCTGCCCTGGCCGGTTGGACCGGCTTCGGGACGGGGCGCTCAGTCTCGGGCCTCCGCTCGGCTTTGTTGACCCCTTTCGGTGTGACACGGCGGTGACAGGACACGTCGGTGAAAAGACAACTGCGAGTCCCGTAACTGCCGCGTCTTCGCTTCCCGTGGATCCTGAGCGCCCAGGGCTTCCTTGTCCGAGGGCCCGGAGCCGCCGCGGAGGGCGTGCGCCGCTATTACAGACATTACGTCTCGAGGTTCGGACTCTGGGTGCCCGTCACGCCGGCCGCCCCGCCTCTTCTCGGGAAACTGAAACTTCCTGTTTACCTTTGTACCCACGGGCTTCTCCCCTGTCAGGACTCAATAAATGGCAAATAAGAGAGTAAATGTGCCTTTCCCACTTGCTGGCGTTGTGATCTTGAGAAAATGACTTAGCCTCTCAGTTACACATGGGGGTAATAATAGTGCACCTTCCTCGTGAGGATGTTGTCAGCCCTTTAGGGAGGAGATAATGCAAGGTGAGCACACAGGAAGTGTGCCGTACCCGGTAATAATATTATTACTACTATTATTATGATTAGTCACAGGAGATATTTCTAATTTATGTGGGCTTGAGGTTACCGATTGTCTGTGACACTGTTGGTAGTAAACGTAAACAATACAACAGCAAACACCTTTTGAGCTTTTTTTTTTTTTTCCTTTACATTTCAGGTACAAATCTAAGCACTTTTTCAAATGTTTGCTCTTTTATTTCAACAATCTTGTGAGGTAAGATTCTATTGTTCCTCCCATTTTACATATAAGGAAACTCCGGGTGCAGAAAGGTTAAGTATTTTGCCCACGGTCATGGATCTAGTAAATACTGAAACAAAGGTTTGAACCTAGGTGATCTGGTTTTGGATAGAATGTAACCCTTGGATCCTTGCTACTCTCACCTCTTACAAATGATACAAAATAGTTTTATGTTGATTTGTTCAAAACTGGGACCTCAGCAAGGCCTGAAGATGTAGAGCTGGTCATAAAAAGGCCCTTACTTCCACTTGGACCCATGCCCGACCTCTCCCTGGACTCTACTGCAGCCCTTGGGATGAATGAGGGGTGAAATAGAATCCTGAATGTAGGAGGAGGGTGTTGAGCAAAGGGAAGAAGGGCTGAGAGGTTGGGAAAATTAAAATTATTTAAGTCCAAAAAGCGATTATGGAGCTTTCAGTAGATTGCCTGGCTATGTTGTCTATGCCGGATACTTGGCATATGCCTGTAACTCTTAAGACTTCACTTTAGCTTCAAGGAACTTTCAGTCTAGTTGGAAAGAGAGGTCAGATACCTAAATTAAAAAGCCAGCAATAGCTCATTTTCCTCAATGGTTCTATTCCCAGGCAAGGGCACATACCTCGGTTGCAGGCCCCATCCCTCGGCCAGGTCAGGGCTTGTAAGGGAGGCAACCAACCAATATGTCTCTCTCACACCTATCTTTGTCACTCTCTCTCTTCCCTTCCTCTCTCCCTTCCATTCTTTCTATAAATTCATGAAAAAATATCCTGGGGTGGCCTGGCTGGTGTGGCTCAGAGGTTGAATGTCAACCCAGGAACCAAAGGATGGCTGGTTAGATTCCTGGTCAGAGCACATGTTTGGGTTTCAGGCTGGATCCCCTGGTGGGTGGGAAGGGGGGGCATGAAGGAGGCAGCAGATCTATCGATGATGTTCCTCTCTATCAATATTTCTATTTCTCTACCCATCGCCCTTCCTTTCTCTAAAAACAAAGAAAGAAAGAAAATATATTTAAAAAATATCCTGGGATGAGGATTTAAAAAATAAGTAAAAAAACAGAGAGCCATGGGGAGTACCCATGGGAGCCAGCATGTGGGTGGTTAAAAATGTGGAAAGGAAGCAGGACAGATGGTGGTGAGACTGGAAGAGTTGTTGGGGGCAGGGGAAGAAAGAAGGGAGCCCATAGTCTGAGATGCTGAATGAACAGAAATTTTCAGAAAATAAAATCAAGATCTATGCTGTTAGGAGCAATCATCATCATTACTACCACTATTATCATCAAGAAATGGCACCAGGGTAAAACAAACTTTCATTCTATAAATATTTACTAGACTAACTTACAAGTGCAAGACACCATGTTAGACATTTTAAAAAGTGAACTAAAAAATGGCGGTAGAGTAGGGGATGCTGCACGGACATGCTCCCAGGAACAAGCTGGAATTACAACTGAAATATGGAAAGGTTTCCTGAATAATAAATGGAAAACTCAGAGGAGAGAACCCTGATACCCAAGGACTGAAGGTGGAGACCACATAGAGACTGGTAGGAGAGGCAGGGGCATGAAAGGGCTGGCCGGGCACCCAGAGACAGCAACTAAAGTCCCAGAGAGAGATCTCAGCTGAGGGGGTTGGGGTGCTACTGAGAACTCTGGAATCTAATCCTGAAGCTGGGCTCCTCAGCAGAGAGCACATCACAGCTAGCTGTGAAAAGCAGTGGGGTGCTGTCTGCCAGGGAGTGGCAGCTGAAAGTTCAGGCACCCACTTAAAGGGCCAATGCACAAAAATTCCCTGTGGAGCCACCCACCTTGTGCTCTGGCAGAGGGAGGGTGAAGTGGATTGAAGCTGTGAGCAGAACCCAGGACTGGGGACTTGGGGGAAAGAGCTCAGAAGGCAGATACTCCAAGTTTCCTGAGCTGAGTCATTCCCTCACACAGCAGAGGACATCTATCTCTCCCACATAGACACCTGCCTTGCCTAGGGCAAAGACAGTTGACACACCCTATTGGAAAACACCTTGCCCTGAGGCAACTTAAGAAAATAAAAGTAACAATTAGCCTCTAGGCAAAATCAACTGTCCCACCCTGTTGAAAAAAAAACAAAACAAAAACAACTCTCTTCATACCTGAGAATGATTGCCTGTTGGAAATTCAAGTTGACATCCTATTAGTCTGTAGACAAAGGCGGTCTCTGGAGGCTTTGGGTCTTTGCCTGATCCAATTAGAAACAACTTTTAACACTGTCCTGCACTAGAGATTGAGAGGTATAGAGGATCTACCTAATACATAGTCACAAACCCAAACAGACTACCAAAATGAAGAAACAAAGAAACAACTCCCAAATGAAAGAACTAGCAAATCCTCCAGAAGAAGTGATAAATGAAGCAAAGATAAGAAATTTATCTAAAACAGAGTTCAGAGTAATGATGTTAAAAATGCTCAACAGTGCCAAAGCCGGTTTGGCTCAGTGGTAGAGCGTCGGTCTGCGGACTGAAAGGTCCCAGGTTTGATTCTGGCCAAGGGCATGTACATTGGTTGCGGGCACATCCCTGGTAGGGGGTTTGCAAGAGGCAGCTGGTCAATGTTTCTCTCTCATCGATGTTTCTAGCTCTCTATCTCTCTCTCCCTTCCTCTCTGTAAAAAATCAATAAAATATATTTTTAAAAAATGCTCAACAGTAGGAAAAAAGGTATAGTAACTATGAAAAAGGAACAGTCTGAGTCAGGGGTCCTCAAACTTTTTAAAGTGGGGGCCAGATCACGGTCCCTCAGAGAGCTGGAGGGCCGGACTATATGAACTACTAATTCCTACTGTAACACCTCGGCTGCGCTCACTGCCCAAAAAACCTGGCGGGCCGGATCAGACTCCTCTGAGGGCCGCATGTGGCCTGAGGGCCGTAGTTTGAAGACGCCTGGTCTGAGATAAAGAATGACATAACATAAATAAAGAACACATTGGAAGGAATACACAGCAGATTAGGGAAAGCTGAGGATCAAATCAATGAATTAGAAGGACAGCTTAAGGGAGCTGTGGGACAATGTAAAATGTAACAATATTAAAATAGTAGGAGTGCCAGAAGAGGCAGAAAGGAAGAAATAGAAAAGGTGTTTGAAGAAATAATGGTAGAAAACTTCCCTAACCAGGCAAAGGAAAAAGTCACATAAGTTCAGGAGGCACAGAGGACCCCAAACAAGAACCCAAAGAGATCCAAGCCCAGATACATCATAATTAAAATGCCAAAAATTAAAGACAAAGAGAGAATCTTAAAGGCGGCAAGAGAAAAGAAAATGGTTACCTACAAAGGAATCCCCATAAGGCTGACACCTGATTTCTCATCAGAAACTCTACAGGCCAGAAGGGAATGGCATGAAGGAATGGCATAGCAAGAATCTGAGACCAAGATTACTATATCCAGCAAGGCTATTATTCAAAATAGATGGTGAAATAAAGATCTTCTCAGACATAAAAAGGCTAAAGAAGTTCATCATCACCAAGCCAGCACTACAAGAAATGTTAAAGGGATTGCTGTAATGGATTGCTGAGAAGAAACAGAAAGAGAAACCTAGCCATACAGAATTAAAATAGCTATCGATAAGTACCTCTCAATAATAACCCTAAATGTAAATGGATTAAATGCTCCAATCAAAAGATGTAGGGTAGATGAATGAATACAAAAACATGACCCAACTATATGCTGTCTACAAGAGACCCACCTCAAAATAAAAGACACACACAGTATGAAAGTGAAGGGATTAGAAAAAAATTTCCATGCAAATGGAAAAGAAAAAAAGCAATACTCATATCCAACAAAATAGACTTTAAAAGCATCATGCTAAATAAAATAAGCCTGTTGGAGAAAGATAAATATCATATATTCTCATTCATTTGTGGAATATAATAAACAACATAAACTGAAGAACAAAAATAGAGCCAGAGGGGAAAAATATTCTAGAATATAATAAAGTAATTTTGTTATTTGCAGAATTTTAATATTTCCTACAACTTTTGTGATACCATACTATGTTATTACAGTTTTGGGAATATTGTTATACTTAAAATCCTTTTATTCTTTAAATGTTAATGTTTATTGCATGTAACATTACTATATTTAAGATAGTTTTTCTTGAAATATTAAGGTTTATTGTATGTAACATTATTATATTTAAA